TTTCAAAAGGGCGACCAAAACTAAAAGGGTTCAACTAACCCTAATTTTCAGTCATGCTTATATAGCATGAAAAACCTACTCCACATTATAATAGGATTAGCCTTATTCCTATGTGGAATAACTTAATTGGTATTTATTAATTAATAATATTATTAATGAATTAATTTACATATTAATATTTATATATAAATTTATAAATTTTACAAATTTAATTCTAATATAAACATTGGACATAGGCAACAACCTCAACAAATTTAATTGCACAACAAAATTTACCCAAATACCCTTTTGCCTAAAAAGACGATAATACCTTTCAACTAAAAGGACAAAAATGCCCCTATTCATGGTAAGCCTCGAACTGTCTTCTAAGTGTGTGACCCATAGGCTTCCCTATCATGTTAGCTGTGAGTAGTATCGCGATTAACCACCAATTAATTGTCTCACTACACACAGACCAAGATTGGCCTCTAGCAAGGAATCATGGTCACCCAACATGTAAAGATCAAAGAAGAACTAATTCCTGTCAATGATATGGTTACTGTGCAATCAAATCCTTTCATCATTTGTTATCCCATCAAGCCGAGGCATAAAAATAGTGCAACCTCAGATGTTATCTTGATGTGTTAGTATTTGGTTATTGAATTAACGACCAAATTAAAATTAGATTGAGCAACAACCCAATCCCACTATGGCCATAGATTTATGTGTCGTATTCACTTAACCAAACTGCATAGAGGGATAACTCTCTCTTGTACCCAGTAGTGATGAATTCTATATTGATCCACCATAGCCTCAATATACTTTTCAATTCAGCCAATCACTACCATACTGATAGCCCTAAATAGGACTATGTTAGGCTAGTGTCAAACTACACCAATAGGTACATAATTCGCTCTAGTGATCTCAAATCTAAGGATCACAAGCACCACCATCCTTTAGAGATTTGTTTCATAGACACTAGGGTTACCATCCATATGAAATCCTTTGATGGGTCAGTCCATTGAACTTGCAGACAACAAGCACCCATGCATCGCACCAAGTTGTCACCAAACAACTTTGACATGTGAGACCTATCACTACCTTTCAGCAGAGTCAAAATAATATTGAGGTTATGGACATTTCTAGAATGGTTATCATATGTGATCATAAGGTCCTCACAATCAAGATTTAAAGCACTTGATTCCCTCGTCATAGTTCCACCACTCTAAGGACAAATATCAAATCATATAAGGATATGATTTACATGATATAGAAGAATGCCTTTATTTAATAACCATGATATTATGAAGAGTCAAATATGATTGGCTCTAAGGCACCTACTCTAACAAGTTGAGGCTGAGAATAAAGTCAAAAAGTACACCCTAAAAGCAAAGCTCAACAAATCCAAAGTAAATTGGGTAGATGAGCTCCCTGAAGTGTTATGGGCATACCAGACAATCGAGAGGACTGTAACGGGAGAAACCCCTTTCTTTCTAGCATATGGCTGTGAAGCCATGGCCCTGGTGGAAGTCAGGCCTTATTGTATTGGATTAATTTAACAACACAAACTTTTCAATTAAGCTTTTTTCAAGTTTTTATATCTGTTTAATTACTCAATTACTTATGCTTATAAAAAAACAAAATTGTCTATCTTTAATATATAAAATATATATTATTATTTTGTCATAACTATAAATATTATAATTGATTTTTTTTGTTATAATTTCAAGCTAATATATATTCATCATTTACATGTATATATATTCTCACTCGCCCTATAAAATTAGAAGTTTAAATCAATTATTCAATTGAAATCCTAATTGCAATAAATTAGAAAAAGCACATTAAATAAAGTAGAGTATTAACTAAACCACATATCAAACACTCACCTCAAGGATAGCTTGAATTACATAATTTACCTCAATATTCTAATTTCATATGATCATATACTATATATATTTTAGTACATGACAACCTAAAAGAATGAAAGTGTTCCAAAGAGGATAAGACAACCGTCTGTATGGTCAAATACTGGTTGTAGGGTTTTTATTTATATTAATTAATTTAGTCAAGTTTTATTAGTCTAGAGTTATGATTTTAAGTTGGAGTAGTATTAGGATTAAGTATTGCTGGGTATAGTTAGGAATATTACTCTTTATATTATACCATTACAATCATTTTAGGATTATGAATTGGGATAAGATGTAAGTCTATATAAAAAGCCTAAACCATGGATTATCATTGTATTTTTATTGGATTAGGATATATTCTAATATGCTAAAGTGGGGTTTTTCTTTATTTTTCCAAATTAAGAGTAAATAACATGCAAAGATCATTGGTGGAGCTGCTAAATATTAATGAAACAGATTAAAAATAAATAAAAAGAAAGACCAAATGTTTAAAAACCATTTTTTTTTTTTAAATGAGGACCGCAAGATTCGAACCAGTTTTCTCTCAAGTCTTCCCCTTAACCACCCGGGCAAACCTGCTTATTTGTTTCATTTCCTTATTAATTATATATATTTAGTTTGTTTATATCTATCTAGAAAGAGAAACTCAACTAAAGTGTGAGAGAAACGACGACATTTTAGAGTTTGTTTGTCCCTTCTCCCTGCTTATTTTCCTTCTTACCTTTCATCTGCCACCTTGCTCCCAATTCATTTTTTCTTCACAATGGCGAATCTTTATTTTTCTTCTTTCAGATTTGGTTTTCCCAATTCAAATTTACAAAGAAAAGAAGTGACCAAAGGCAGCTCACTTCACCCAATTCAATTTTTCCCTTTTTCTTTGTAACACTGAAGAAGAAAATTAGGAGAATCAAAGGAGAGATCATAAAGATTGCATTATATCCTTGCTGAACTTTAGGAAGTCACACAATGAAGTCCATTGAGATATCCTCCCATTTCTATTTAGGAATCTCTAAGGGTTGGAGTAATCATGATGATCTCTGATGCTTTGTCTTTACTTGTTGACATGTTAAACATCTGGCAACATAATCGACAATGTTTATTTTTCATACCTGACCACCCCTAGCTTTTCTTCACATCTTGATACATCTTTACACTCCTAGGGTGGGCTGTATAAAGTGTATTGTGTGCCTTACTAAGAATTTTATTCCTTAGTTCATCATCTTGAGGTACACATATTCTATCTCTAAACATTAGTGCCCCATTGACTATTTTAAAGTCTGTCTCTTTACCCTCTATTACCTGTTGGCAGATCACCTTGCAGGTATCATCTTTACCTTGTTTCATCTTGATCTCCTCCACCAAAGTGGGTCTAATCTCTATTTGGGCCAATCCTCCTTTGATCATAATTTCAATTCCTTCTTGGAGGATCTCCTGCTGTAATTGTCCCTGTACAGTAATCTGAGATAAAGAGACTTTTCTACTAAGGGCATATGCTACTGCATTAGCTTTCCCTGGATGGTATCTGATGTCGCAGTCGTAGTTTATCACCAATTCTAACCATCTCCTCTGTCTCGTATTCAACTCTTTCTGAGTGAAGAAATACTTTAAACTCTTATGGTCAGTGTATATGTTGCATTTCACTTCATACAAGTAGTGTCGCCATATCTTCAGAGCAAAAACCACTGTTGCTAATTCCAAGTCATGGGTATGATATTTGCTCTCATAGTCTTTTAGTTGTCTGACGGCATAATTAAGCAATGACTTTCCCTTGCTGCATCAACACTGCTCCCAAACCATTGTGGGAGGCATCAATGTAAATATCATAATCAATGCCTACTTCTGGCAATGTAAGAATTGGAGCTGTAGTTAATCTTTTCTTCAGCTCTTGAAAGCTTTGCTCGCATGCCTCTGTCCATTGAAATGGTACTTCTTTCTTGGTAAGAGTTGTAAGTGGTTTGGCTATCTTTGCAAAGCCTTCCACGAACTTCCTATAATACCCTACTAAGCCCATAAAACTTCTAACCTCTTTCACTGTCTTTGGCCTCTGCCACTCGAGCACCGCCTCTACTTTACTAGGATCCACTGATACACCGTCTTTAGAGATCACATGACCCAAAAAGGTAACCCTATCCAACCAAAACTCACATTTTGAAAATTTGGCATACAGTTGTTTCTCTCTTAATCTTTGTAACACAAATCTCAAGTGCTCGGCATGTTCTTCTAAAGTCTTGGAATAAACTAGGATATCATCAATAAACACCACTATGAACTTGTCAAGGACATCATGAAAGACTCTGTTCATCAAGTCCATAAAAATTGCAGGTGCATTAGTCAATCCGAATGGCATCACAACAAATTCATAATGCCCATACCTTGTTCGAAAAGCCATTTTTGGTATATCTTCCTTAGGCACTCTAACCTGATGGTATCCTGACCTTAGATCAATTTTAGAAAACACTGAGGCACCTTTCAATTGGTCAAAAAAATCATCTATCCTGGGCAATGGGTACTTATTCTTTACCGTTACTTTATTTAGTTCACGGTAATCTATACACATCCTCATGGACCCATCCTTCTTTTTCACAAATAGAATTGGAGCACCCCATGGGGAATGACTCGGCCTGATAAAGCCTTTGTCTAACAACTCTTGTAACTGCTTCTTCAATTCTTGGAGCTCAGCTGGTGCCATGTGATAAGGAGCCTTTGAAATAGGGGCTATATCGGGGGCTAATTCTATACTAAACTCCACTTCCCTCTTTGGATGTAAACCTGGCAATTCATCTAGAAACACATCAATAAATTCATTTACCACATGTACCTCATGTACACTTGAGCTCGAACTCTCTCCCTTATTTACTACATGTGCAATGTACCCAGAACACCCCTTTTTCAACATCTTCCTAGCTTTTGCTGCACTAATAATCATGCTAGTTGGGTGCCCTTCTCCAAAAATGAAGTTATCACCATAGTCTAGATTAAACTTGACTTTTTTCCTATGACAGTCTATCTCTACTCCATATCTACTAAGAAAGTCCATCCCAAGAATGATGTCAAAGTCTGACATATTGAAGACAATCAAATCTACCATCATATCTCGGCCTCTAATATTCACTAACTCCCCATTAAGACTTCATTGGTCACTACACCCTCACCATCAGGCAATTCGATCCTAATGGCTTGTTCTACTCTGATAGGCATTAACCCTAATCTTTTAATCATACCATAGGAGATGAATGAATGAGTAGCACCAAAATCAATCAAGGCATACAAGGGAGTATCATGGAATAATAATTGACCAATGACTGCTGAAGGGCTGGCATCTGCCTGCATCTGGGCCACATTATATACCCTAGTTGTCGTGCCTCCAACTGCAGGTACTGAAGTTGCAGAACCAATGGGGCAATCTCTAGCAATATGACCTAGCTGGCGACATCTGAAACAAACATTGGTTTCTACTAGGCATTCACCCATGTGTCTTCTTCGACATTTCTTGCAGTAACTAACCTCATATTTCCTCTGCTGGCCCTTTTTCTTCATGTCCTTCCTGTTGCCTTTAGGTAGGATTCCTTTCTTGCCTTTACCCTTATCATCTTTGCCAACAACTTGTTCTGCACTACTGGATTGGCCAAACTGGAGAGGACTACTTGCCACTATTGGGGGAAGAGCTAATCTGGTCTCCTTCCTTTAGTACACCTCTGCTTTGATGGCTCTGGCGAGTGCTTCACTATATGTTTGGGAGGGCTGATGACTTGACATAACATCTCTGGTGATAGTAGGATGAAGTCCACCTACAAATCTCTCCAATTGGGTCTGTGGTGTACTGACTAGTATTGATGCAAACTTAGCCAAGGAGTTAAACTTGATTGAATACTTTTTGACCGTCATATTTCCTTGTTGCAGACTAATAAACTCTTGTAGTTTAGAGGATATCATGTCCGCTGTCCGGTACTGCTCCTCAAACAATTCCTTGAACCCTGACCAAGTGAGAGTGGTAGTATCTTGAGTCTGCTCCATAAGCTCCCACCATGTCATAGCATCTCCTCTCAATAGGTACGTAGCATACGGGATCTTCTCTTGATCTATCATAGGAAATAGAGCAGTAGCTTTCTCCACCAACTTGATCCATTGTTCTGCTACTATTGGATCATTAGTGCTGCTAAATTCTGGAGGCTGATGTTTACTTGAGAGGCCACAAATCGGTTCAATCTGCTTTGGAGCAACCATTGCTTCTTGAGTACTCGTCCCTATTGCTTGACTTGGTACCACATTGGTTGTCACTATTGTCATCGGAGTACTTGTACTTTCCGGTGGGGTTTTCCTTAAAGCACTATTAATAGCCTCCTAGATCATACGCTCCAATGTTGCAACATCTAAACCCGGAGCGCTTGATGTAGCAGCTGCTAGGTTAGGAGCTTCAGGTGCAGTTAGAACATCTTGTGCATTCAAAGCATCACTGCGACTTGGATCCGTTCTCCTGGTTTTCCTTATATTTATTCCCTATCACAGTCACACATATAATGTTAATCATCTAATCAACCCTTACATAAATCAGGTAAACATACTTACAGCGAATGGACAACTTAAGCAGCGGAACTTTACATGAGGGATACTGTCATCAACACTCATAAATGCCTAACTCCGAAATAGAAAACATCTTAAAAAACCCCTTTTTAAAGTAATAAAATACTTGCTCTGATACCAAATGTAAAACCCCCTTCCAATCAGGTTTCCTCTAAATATCCCTCAATGAGAATCTGGGGGATACATGTTTGGAAAACGAGTTGTATTTAGAAAAAACAACCTGTGTAAGGATAATAATAATAATATTCGAAACATGCATATAAAATATCATGCAGGATCTAAACATATAATTTCAAAACTTTAGGAATTTATTCATAAAATACACAATCAAAACATATTTATAGGGTGTAATATTCCAAAAGGTGTTTCACAAATATTTATCATTTACATTATTTACATCAAGATAAAAACATCGAGATGACAATAAATTATCTCCCCTCACGTGTAGCCTCGCTGTCTCTAGCATCCTTCGCTTCTGGTCTACCTGTAAAGCAATCAACAATAAAAGGGTGAGCGCTAATCGCTCAGTAAGGAATGATCCATTTCATTCTAAATGTGCTATTTGACCTTTATTTAAACATATTTGTTAATACATCGCTTATCTTTTACATCTAGGGATACTTCCCCTTTTATTACTAATTCATATGCTTTTCATCATTTTATCCCATGGCTATATAAACATCAATGTGTACACACACATCACATATCATGACATAACATCTAAAATCATCTAACATGAGTATAAATCATCTCATGATGTAAATAACATCATAACTCATGTAATGCAACTAAATGCATATGAAACATTTAACGTCTAGCCGATCGGACCTTTCTTAGCATCTTAAGCACTTCATATCATCTAGCCTCAAATTTCATCTAGAGCTCATATCATCGGGAGGCGTGCTTACGCGTTATTTAGCATCTAAAGCATATATTCATCTTTCCTCAACCGGTATACGAGGATATGCTTACGCGTTTTCCATCATGTCTATATGCATCTCTATCATGTCTATTTGCATCTCTAACATCTTATGGCATGTAAATACATATTTTGGTGAGCTTAATACTTTTAATTCATCTATGGATTATCAACCCATTTACATTACCTCTTGCTCACATACATCATCTTAAAACATGTATTACATTGCATCTTCATGCCATTTCATAACATTAATCATGCATTGACATCATGACCATGTATATCTTTCAAAGATCATCTAACTAATGGGTAAACATTAGTACATGGCATACTTACAATAATACATTAATAATCAATTCATAATCATAAGAATTGATTATGTTAAATCTTAAACTTTAATAACCAGTTTATGCTTCAGGCCATTTTCCATCCTTTTCTCAAACGAATTGGCTCTTGGCATAAACATAAAAGTTATAGGTCTGTGTCTTAGCTTTCTAATGCTTCAAGAATCATCTCATTTCGATTTTTATAACTCAAGTTATGGTCGAAATACTGAAGCAGGGTTAACAAAACCCCTAAGCCCACTAAATCCGAATTTTCATATTAACTATGCCACATCAATTCCTATTAACATTAACCAATAGGTTAACTTATGGATCAAATAAACCTCCCCTTGATAGTCTTTAACATCTTAAAGGAAGTGTAAAATCTCATTTCCATAATCCTCCATTATTGCTATAACATTGTAAGCTAATGCAAACAACACATCAACACTTCTAATAGCAACCATTCAACACCATGTGGCCTCCAATACTACAATTTTTGCCACAATCAGTATCCACACTTCATTTTCTTCAATCAAACATAACAACTCATAAAACATAAAGAGCAATAACTTCATGTATAATGAATTCAAGGCAATAAGTAGAATAAATGAGTTCAACTACACTTGCCATCAACTAATTCTATGCCTTAAAGCCTTAATTTAAGGTTTCATAAAAATCTACAAACCCTAGCATAAACCCTAAAGTCATGGGAGGTTCTTCCTTACCTTTTTAAAGACTTCCTCCAACAAATCCTTTGCCTTTGACTTCTTTTACACCTTAATCCTACATATATAACATTATACCTCAACATCTACCTCAAATCTTCAAATCACATCAAAACTAAAGTTTTTAATCCTTACCTTAAACCCTTCAAATTGAAGATCCAAGGCTCCTATCTTGTTCTCCTTGAAAAATTATGCAAAACTCCTTGAAAACCTAGAGAAAGAAAGCTTGTTTCATGGAAGATTTGAGAGAAAATGGAAGAAATGTTGAAGAAAGGCTCTCTCCCTTGGCTTGAACGAATTTCATCTCATTTATAGGAAAATATTTCATTTATTTTCCAAAATTATGCAATTGGCCCAATTATTTTAATTGTATAACTCATAAGTCCTTAATTCTTCATTTAAGGGCATTTTGGTCATTTCACACTAGACATAATTATTAATTAATTAATGCCATTAAATGCAATGAAGCCTACTCATCCTTGACTTTTTCCATGCTTATCCATAGGCAAAATGACCATTTCACCCCTAATGCCTTTTGATGGATAATTGATTCATACCGTTCCAAATGAATCGACTATTTTTCTCTTAGTTATGTTTTATGCTTTTTAACATAAAATTAACTTCTAAAAGACTATTTTGAGTTAGGAACATACCTTTGACATCTTGGGTATTAGAGGAAATATTTGGCTCTTGACCAAAAGCCAATTGTAAAGGGGAGAATTTGTGATAACTTGTTGGCCTAATGTGTACAAGTGCTACTGCATGTAAAATAGCATGTTCCCAAGCAAAACTTGGGAGATTTGTTCTCATAAGTAATGGTCTAGCAATCAATTGGAGGTGTTTAATAAATGACTCTGCTAGACCATTTTGTGTATGAACATGGGCAACAAGCTTTTCAATTGTTATTTCGATTGACATACAATAATCATTAAAAGCTTAAGACATAAATTCACCAGCATTATCAAGACGTATTGTCTTAATTGTATAATCTAGAAATTGAGCTTGCAATCAAATTATTTGGGCAAGTAATCTCACAAACGCCAGGTTGCGAGTAGATAATAAACACACATGCATCTACTAAGACCATAAAATATCTAAATGGTCCACATGGTGGATGAATAGGCCCACATATGTCACCTTGAATTCATTCTAAAAATGTAGGTGATTCAATCCCATTTTTAGCTGGTGATGGTCTAATAATTAATTTATCTTGAGAACAAGCAGCACAAGAGAATTCATTAGATTGAAAAATCTTTTGGTTTTTCAATGGATGCCCATGTGAATTCTCAATGATTCTTCGCATCATTATTGAACCAGGATGGCCTAACCAATCATGCCAATTAATAAAAGTATTAGGATCAATAAACTTCTGGTTTACTATAGCATGTGTTTCAAATACACTGATATTTGTGTAGTACAATCCGGAAGAAAAAGCAGGTAATTTTTCCAACACACATTTCTTACCTGTAATTATTCTTGTAATATAAAGATATTCAATATTTCCTTCATTGGTTGTCTCAATATGATATCCATTACAGTGAATATCTTTAAAACTTAATAAGTTTCTTTAAGACTTGGAAGAAAATAATGCATCTTTTATAATAACCTGTGTTCCTTCAGGCAATAATATATTAGCTCTTCCAGAGCCTTCAATTAATCTTGTACAACCTGATATTGTATTTATGTTAGCTTCACACATTATCAAAGAAGAAAAATATTTTCTTTCTTTAAGTACAGTGTGCGTTGTAGCACTGTCTGCGAGACAAAGATCTTTATCATCAATCTTGGATCCAATCATAGACTTGGAAATGTCCATTTTTCTTTATTCAAAAACAAAATACATAGTAAGGCATATTACAAAGCCAACAAAACAAAGTAATTTATCTAAAATTGAAAATCACACTTAAACATATTTAAAGTAAGACACTCATTAAAAGCAAAACACTCAACTTAAACATATTAAAAGTAAAACACTCAACGTAAATAAATTAAGAGTAAAACACTCACAAAAAAAATAACTTTGATATTTTTGGACATTCCCATCTCCAATTAAATGATTAATTCTCCCTTCAAGATATCTACAACATCCAAATGTGTTATATCAACAGGTCCATGATCAAAATTATCATCTTGATAAGAAAAATTTGCTTCTCTATTTTCGTTTTGGTAAGCAAAATTTGCTTTCATATTTGTCTCTTTTTCTTTCAACGATGCTTGATAAAGTTCAACAAGATGTTTAGCCGTACGACAGGTACATGACCAATGTCCTTTCATGCCACATCGATAGCATAGATTTTTTGTATTCTTTGAATCTTTATGTTGTCCACTTTTGCCCTTTTCCTTTTTCTCTTCATCATTATTTTACTTCTGGTGGCTTTTACAATTAGAAGAGTTATAGTTATAACCACCATGATTGTGATTATTACGACTTTGACTACGTCCACGGCCACGGCCACAACCATGGCCATGACCTCGCCCACACCCATGATTATCAGATATTGTCACATTCACTTCAGGGAATGAAGTAGAACCTGTTGGGCAACCTTTATGATTTTTTCATTAATAGCTCGTTATTTTGTTTAGCCACAAGAAATCATTATTAGTTCAAAATATTTTTGAAATCCCTTTTCTCTATATCGCTGCTAAAAGAGCACATTTGCTGCATGAAAAGTAGAGAATGTTTTCTCTAACATATCTTCATCAGTAATATTTTCTCCACACAATTTCAATTGAGAA